AAGTTGATCAAAAATGTAATACAAATGCTAATTTAAAATTAATAAATACAAATGAAAAACAAGAAAGGAAGTTAACTAAGTGTTTATATTCTTCCAGTTACCCATATGATAATGGCTTTAAATGTGAAATCAATCCAAATTAAGCCAAAATAAAATTAACTAAAAATCATTTCCTGTATTGGCATTTATTAGGAATTTAATTAATATATTTGCCCTAAATAGTACAAAATTAAATGAAATTGAAATTTTTATGAATTTTCACCAATTTATTTAATGTTATCATTAAAAAAATATGTTGTCCAACTGATTTAATTGGTTTTCTTTGTTAATAAAGATTTTGTTAAAAAATAATTATATATGACTTTTGGTAATCGCTTGGCTTTTTGGCCTTCGTAAACCTACAAGATAAAAATATATAAAGGTATATTAAGTCGATATTTTTATACGCAATTTTTTTTGTTAAATCAGAGTCTTTTCAATGTCATAACTAAGCCAAAATTGATTTATTACAATTCGGATAGCTTTCCTGTGTTAGTTTTTGAAGGGTTAACAAATATGCATACTAACTTTTACGATTTTAAATATTTAATTTTTTTGTCAATTTTTGATCATTTTAACGATGTAACCCCTTATAAAATTTTCAAAAAAATATGTAAAATTTATATTTCACCAAACATGACTAGGTAGATTCGGCTCTTCATGCTGATCAAGAATATATATATATTATAGGGTCGGAAATGACTCCTTCACTTCGTTGTAAGCTTTTGACTGAAATTATATTTAATTTTAGTCAATAATTTTAAATTAAGTTAAGTTTGTAGATATTCTTAATGCAAATTGCTGTATCACTTTAAGTTAAAATTTGGTTATGTGCTCCATGGCAATAAGGAAGTTAATTACATGTTATAATAGTTAGCACAGCTGATTGTAGACCTAGGCCTGATTCCTCTTATAGTATCTATGTATATATATGATGTAATTGTCTTGGTTAAGACTTACCACAGCAGAGGGCATACGGTTCTCCGTCATTGCTTAATTTCTTCCAATTAGCTTATTCCTGGTTATCCAGATGTGTTCCCTTCGTCATTTGCTAATTTTGGGGTCGAAAGGTAATCACTATCACCATCACTCAGATGTAAGCAGTAGGACGGCCGCGGACAGAATGAGGCCGGAGCGACGGTAGTACCTGTATTTATAGTCCCCGAGTGAAGAGAACAGAGAAAGTGAGAGCGGGAGAGAATGAGGTATCTATAGATAGGCAGAGAGAGGTAAAGAGAAAGAGATGTCATATCATACCGAATAATATGGAGAGTGAGGGGGAGAGGCAGAGAGATAGCGATAGAGTGATCGTTCTGATCGTTCCTATTGCAGCTATATGATATAGTAATTCGATCCAGCCCGTTTCTACTAATATATTAATTAGAAAGATTAATTAATTAATGTTTTACGTAGCTTCACAACTAAATGACTAATTAGCTTTTAAAACGGATAGACTGGCGGACTATGGCTTGATCGACTCGTCTGTTTATGCTGATCAAGAATATATATACTTTATATACTCTAAAATGTCTATATATTTTATATATATTATATTTCTCTTCGTAACTATGTTGAATTTATGATTAATTAATAAGAAATAAAATCTATAAATATGTTGCGATACATTTGTATACATTTAGTTCTCGTTTTTCACGCTTTGTCTTATTTTCCTGGAGTCCCCCCTATTTTTTTATACATTTTGAGAGCTTTCAAAGTGCAAATTTATCAATCATACGACACGTATGCCGGCGCAGGGCTAGCGTGTGTGTGTGTGTGTGTGTGCATAATAAACTGATTTCAATGGCTGCCAGTCTTTATGCATTAATTTATCCCATATTCAGCTTACCGCCCCCTCTCGCAATATAATTTTTAATTTTTTTTTTGCTGTATTTTATATATATAAAATTCACATCACGCTGATGATGTTGATGCGTTGATATTGTTGCTGCTTTTGTGGCTGCCGCTGCGTAACATTTAAAATATGCACAGTAACTAAAAGTATTTTTCACACAAATTGAGTTTGCCCCAGCCTCGTGGCATGCCCCGTGCCCATACCCGGGGCACGGGCAAAAGTCGCCGTCGCCTGCGCCGTCGTTGGTGCTTTGGAATTGCCAATTTTGCTGCCAGTCAACGGACGCAGCTCTTGATGTTGCTGCCTGTAACTGATGTTGCTGCTGCTGTTTGGTGCTGCCACTGGCGACATGGAAAATTTGCTGCCATTGCCAGGCGTCACTCAGCTAGGACGTAAGAGCAGTGAGTGAACGCAAAAAGCAAAACAAAGTCAAGTCTTGCGACCTAAAAATACCTGGCTGCTGAAAAGTATAGCATACCTTTTGGGGTTGCACTTTTATGTTGGCAGAAAGACACTAAAATTGTTCATGTAATTAAAATAATTCTTCGATCGACTTGAAATTTTGTAGGTGATTAGAAAAATGTTGTTTGAAATTACTGCTGTTAAATATAAAAACAAAATAAAATGCAGCATTTGCAAATTCTAAAAAATTTAATTTCTCTGAGCTATGATAGTAGTTGATTTAGCTTTGAAATTATTAAAATTTGATGTAATAAATGATATCCCCTTAAAAGCCCCTAGAATACTGGGTATAATAGCAACAGCAAAAAACAACGAATAATGCCAGGACAAAGAGCCCAGCGTATTCAGTCGCCGAGGTGGTGGCATAATTTAATAGAGTCGGTAATATCAATAAATTTTAAAAGCCTTTTAATGCGCATCGATAAAAATAAAGCAGACGCATCTTCGGCGGCATAATTATCCAGAAATGAGCAGCTCAAACCGGAGCTGTCGTTTGGTTTTTGGGCCTCATAAATTATCCATCCAGCATCTGATGTCGGGCGTTGCAAGACCAAATTCAATTATGCAAATCGCATGTGAGAAATTCAATTGAAATACGATAATTTCCAAGGGAGTGTGACGTTCGTTCAGCTTTAAGTAACTGAACGCTGTACAAGTGTCCTCGCATTAAGTATGTCCCAGTGAAATCAGCTCTACAACATCCGCTTGAAAACTCCGCGGCTCAGCATATCCCCATGGAAATTTGCGCACAAAAGCCAAGAAAGCGGAGAGAGAAAAAAATCGCTATAATAAGTAGCGGAGCTGAGCGATAAAAGTGTGGATAGCTGTCGTTCATATGCAACCGAAACAATGCAACAATGCGCCCAGCATCCCCCCCGATCCTTATCCCCATCATCATCGCCAACCGCAGCCACCAAAGACAATGTGCAGCATCCCCATCGGTTCTATTTTTTTGTTGTTGCTTGTGGGGAAAGCATTGAAGGGGCAGGAGCAGGAGCAGGGATATTCACGGGTAGCCTGAAATGCACCAACGAAAATTCATGGCATTAGGGGAATGCCAAACGAGATGGGCAACATGGCAACAGAATCAACTAAAAAGGAGTCGGGGTATTTAGAGACAGATTAGAGCGAAGGAAAAGGAACGACTAAAGGATACTCTGAGTAGATCCTAAAATATATCTTTCTTAAGATCTGCTAATACTCCTTTGATTTAGTAATAATATAAGCATGTATTTTGCTAGATTCCTTCTATAACCTGAGCATATCTCCAGACTTTGAGTTCAATCCTCAGAATAATAGTTCAAATACCTAAAACCCAGCTTTTGGTAGAAAGTAAGCTGGCTTTTGTCACCAATATACCTCTCGGCTTTCATCCAGCCAACACGAACTGATTCCCATTAGACTGTGATATATATACACGTTCGCTTGGGTTTCGTGTGGATCTCTGTCCTGTCTGCCTTAGTTGTTGACGATTTGGTAACTGCAGCAGTTAGCTGCTCCCTCTGCTGGCTCAGTTGCAAGTCCGGCTGGCAAGTGCCTTTGGCTTATAAAATATTTAAACGTTTTTGTGGCTTTGGCCGCAACATATTTGCACTTTGGGGCCAGGAGCTGCAACTCCTGCTCCTGCCACTGTCTCTTGTGCACTTCCTTATGTTTTCTTGGCATAAAAACGAGAAAAATAACTAAAAAGAGAAAGGAGGTGGAAAGTTGTGCCCGGATGAATGCTATTAATATTGTGCGACAGCTGGCGGACTGCTTAAATATTTACTCAATACGCAGGGAAAGAACTACGAAAAAGCCACGACTTGTCTGTTAACCCATGGAAGTACACCCAGGTCCAGCCCCTCAGGATACTCGAGAGAGAGAGAGCCCCGATATGCTAATACGGTTATGGTTACTGCCTTTGCCACTGCCACTGATGCTGCTGCTGCTGCTGCGGCTTCTATTCTTTGCGGTTGTCCTTGTCGTGTTGGCTGGAGAGGAAATTTCATTATGCCAATTACTTGCATCAAAGCTGCTTGGATAATTGACTTTGCTTAGCCCCGAACCTACAGTACCTCAACCTCCAACCTTCAGCTCCCGATGGGTTTGCATAAGACGCCTTTCGCACATTAGCCGCCACTTGCGCTCTCTGCCTCTGTGTGTGTGTGAAGGTCCTTTCCACTCTCTTGCTGCATAAAATAATTAAACTTAATTGACAGTTTTTCGACATCACCTTTGTCGCTTTGGTGTGACAAGTCAGGAGACTGCTCCTCCTTGTCCTAACGAGCTTAACTTTTTAGCATCAAGTGCCTGCTTAGTTTTTACGGCGAAAAGTAACTAGCACTATAACTAGCCAGCCAGTTAGCTGCTTTACTCAAGTTTAATTCTCGCTGGCGGAATAAAATACATTTTAAGTAGTCCAAAGTAGTGCAGAAAATAGTTAAGCCTAGAGGAATACAGCAAAAGGTGTCTTTTAGAAACAAAATATAGTTAATTAGCATTAGCCTAGCAAAATCTTTAATCTTTAAAGTCCATAAAAGCAAGCATGATGGAGGGGAAACAAATCCTTCCTTGGTGCATCTTAAATTCCCAAGTAACGTAAACGGGATTATATATTTTCCTTAAATTTTAACAAATTAAAATATGTATCAAGGCATCCTTGACATTACTCACTTTTCTTATCTAACTCTCTCCTTTCCTTTAGATATAAAACAATCCAAAAAAACTTTTAAAAATTCTTCAAAATTGTAGTGTAATTTTTTCCCATTTGCCAGATTCTATTATTTCCTTGCCCCAGCAGCCAAGATGAAGTACTATCCGAATGCAGATGTGTGGTTCTATGTGGACAAGCCCAGTTGTATGAACAACTATATGAAATATCCGCCAAATCATAGCTGGAAGATTAATGACAAGACCACCTCTCGGGTAATGCGCTATTGGCGCGATTCGGAGGGTATCAAGAAGCCGGAGATCAAGCTGGAGGATCTGTATTTCACCGACTGGCCAAAGAATCGCATTCGTCCTCAGGCCTGTCTGGGATTGCTCTATGCCACTGGTAACCGTTTCATTAAATTGACCAAGGCACCGCCGGCAGGATTCAAGTGCGCCCCAATGCCCGTCAATTTGGCCACAGCTCGTATTGTTAACGGTACTTTCTGCTTTTTATATTCTTATTATATTTTATTTAAAACTCTAATTTTACAAATAATATTTGGTAAATATTATTTATGTTACAGTGATGCTGAAAAAGAAGGCCAAGGCGGAGAAGAAGGCCAAGAAGGCGGAGAAGGCCAAGAAAGATGCCGAAAAGAAAGCCAAAGGCAAGGGCCAGGGTAAAGGCAAGGGCAAGGGTGGCCAACAGGAACTAAAGCCAAAGGTTATCAAGACCTACAAAGATGCGGAAAAAATGTAACAGTAACAAAACTTAAGTAAACGTAACAAGTAAATTTTTTATATATTTAAAAAATTGTTGAAATATCTTATTTATTTATCAAATAGCTCTGAATTTTTGATTGTAGACTATCTTATACTTGATGGCACAATTGAAAGGATTCTTAAATCTACCCCTTTCTCTCTGCACCCCTTGGGCTGCCCTCGCTCGGCTGATTGCCTGCATTTAATCAAATTAATTAATGGCACATTTCACATTCATCATTTGCCCGGCTGCATATTTTCCCATTCCTGATGCTGATGCTGATGCTGCTGCGAAAAGCCAATGCTCGAGGCTCCTCCAGCTGCGGCCCCGCCCACTCGTTTACCGCCCTTTACGACTGATTGAAATTGCACGGCAGTCTCCCCTTTTATAGCATGCAACTTTTTGTTGCGGATTTTTTTATTTGGCTCAATCTTTTTTTTTTTTTGGCACAAATCAACGAACTGCAAAATTCAATTGAAAACCGTTGAATGCAAGTTAATCAGTTCGCTTGGCTACGCTAATTATGTGGCCAATATATGTATGAGAGTGTGTGCGGTGGGTGGGTGTGTGTGTGCGGATGGGTGTTATGATGGCAGGACGATATGCCTTATTTACAAATATTCATGCGAAAGCGTGTGAGTGTGTGTATTGGGCAAAGTAACCAAATTATTCGGTTGCCGTATGGCTTGCATTTTAAATTCAACCAAATTGATGACATTGGTTGACATTATAAATTGGTAAACAAACAATAAATTGAACGCGGTTGATGGTTATGAATATGCCATTGAAGTGTCCTTAAAGTCAATGTGCTTATAAATATTAAAAAGCGTTTATAGATTGAATATCTAAGAAGTGCTTTGCATGTTTATATCTTAAACATAAATCACAGTAAACATTTCTCTCTTAATCTATCTTTTACATTCCAGATAAAACTCTTGACTCTCTCACAGTGAAGATCCTGTAAATAAACAAATTTATAATTATATTTTAGAATTAAAGTCACAGAAAAATATGGAGAAGAAAAAAGCTAAGCCAAAGATCCAAAATGAAGATCGTCAGAATTTTGTGGCCACACGGATGAGTCTACCGCTCTTTATGGTTTCTCGTAAGTTTAAGATTATGGATTACCAGTCTCCCTATATTAATCAGCTCTTAAAATATAACTAGGTAATCGCATTAGAAAGGATAACTTGGCTAGTGTGGGTAAACAGTTTAAATTGGCCGGCCGGCATTATAATGAAGAGTGTCGCAAGGGTAAGTTTATGTTAAAGATTAAAAAGTAAAGTTTAATGATCTTGTTCCATATCCGCAAAAGAGAATCACAATGAGGCGGCTAGCAATGCCACATTCAATCATTACCGCCACATCACGGGCTATGACAAGCAGACAAAGAATCCATATCCTGAGAGACGTCCTTTACGTGCCGAGCGAGGCATGACCAAGTATAGAAGCTGGCAACTTCCACCGAATCACTACGGTATTCCGCCGCAGCCATTTCTCCGTCTGAGGGGCACCAAGGGCACCGTATTTGCAACACCGCACACAAACCATAGCCGTGTGTCCATCAAGCCGCCTCCTTACCATTTCTACGAATCTTCACCGGGAATCGATAGACTCTTTAACCGCGAAAATCAGCAGAAGGGCAAGTTCCTATCGAGTAAGTAAACTCAAGGTCCTTTCTTTAAATTTATTTATATATCACTTCACCTGTCTTCAGATGCCCGCGATCACCGTCCGACGACTCGTACCATGATCTCCAGTATCTCTGGATGCTGGCGTGATCCCAAGGACCCTGGGCCCTGCGAAACGCACACGGACTACTACACAATGGAGGCCAATGCAGCGGCCATAACGAAGCCAGAACGTCCCAATCCGCATCTGTTCAATCGAAGATCGTATGTGCCCACGCAGATCAATGTGAAAATTCGGCGGCACATCAGCATGGAGCCGGCGCCAGGTCGCTACTGTACCAGTTATCCAAATGTCTGTCCATGTCCGGCGGGCAAGACAAGTGTTCCAGGGCTTCAGCTTCTAATCGATGAACAAAAGAGGCTCAAGTTCCGGCGTCTGCCCTTCGAGCGGATTAGCCGAAAGACACTCTGTGAGCCGGACTGGCGTCATGTGATTGGGCAAGGGCATCGGCATATCTTCATGATGGCTCCCAAGGACAGGCTGAAACCCTCGAAGAAGCCAGCTGGTGCCTCCAAGAAACCTGGGAAGCTAATTAATATGTTTGCTGACGCCAAGTACATCAATATGCTCACTCAGCCCCAGCGGCATAATATCTCCATCCGGAATTTTCCGGTGCCACCGTATGTGCCAAAGATCGTTTACAATTGCGCTGCCAAGCGCATAGTTCGCAAACAGCTGAAGAACAACAAGAAGATTGCTTTCAATAGTGGCCAGGAGCGTTGGAAGGATGGCGAACGACCAATGCAGCTCACCACCCGGCAGCTGGAGGCCATCAAGGCCAAGCTGCCGCCGGAGCGGCGACTCATAGATCATCCCATTGATATACCCGAGGATCTGCCAAGCCGTCTGACGCATGTCCCTGACCACCAGAGGGTCACCTATATGCCAAAGCTGCGAAAGCGACTGTTCAAATTCCTTCCCATTCCCGCTGCCCGTGTCCTGGTCACTGACAGCGATATACGTCCGGATATAGTGTTCGATCCTGACAATCCAACCGGACTGTACCGGCGAAAGATCGTTGAGTCCATGTTCTTCAAAGACGCTGTGCTCCGGGCAATGGAGAACAAGGAGAACGATCAGCCCGGAGACGCAAGCGAAGTCGTGTCTCAGACACAGTCCCAATTGCCATCGGAAGCCCCTTCCGGGGCGGACATTGAGTTACCAAAGGACTCATCCGCGCATTCGGTCCAAGCTTAAAATTGCTTCAGATCTCAGTTTCACGTTAGTGCCACTTTTTGAAATCCTTTTCGTTTTTGATTTATGCTCCTCGCTCGACCGAATCCACGTGGCCAAGAAACATACCGAGAGATGGCCGAGGGAAAGCAGCTGGAAATACCTTAAATAAAAATGTGAAAAATTATCCATTTGGAAAATCTGATTGGGGTTTTAATTGCAAAAGGGGGAGAGAAGTGATGGAAAGTCTTTAAAAGAGATTTAAGACATTATAAAATACTAAATTATATATTTTATTTTATATAAATAGAATAAGCTAAAGCTAAGGCTAAGTTCTTGCTATGTAATTTCATGCAAGAGCTTCACGCATCTTGTTCCCATTTCCTTGGTACACCTAATCAAATAATACTAAAAATTTTAAGTGAACATGTGTTGTATAATTTTATATTTATAAAAATAGTACCCTATAAATGGTTTTAGCTTTTAGAGAGTCGAGTGCTCAGCTCTGGCTATCAACTGGGGGACTAGAGTTTCCTTGCCTTTCCGGCTTTTGCTGCCATAAAACAGGCCAAAGTAACTTTCGACCATAAAATAAATAACTTTTTTAACTGTCCATCTCGCCGCACTTCCCTTTTGCCCATCCAATGGCCACACACAGGCACACACACGAAGACAAAAAGGTCAAAACGAAATAATTAAGTTTTGCAAACGTTTTGCGGGTAACTAGGAGACGGGGTCGGGCCGTATCCGGATCCGGATCCGCATCCGGGTGTGCTCTCTACGTGTGCCCCGCTACATGTGGCCATTAAAATGCTCGTATTATATCTTCTCTTGCTTAGATTGTAAAACATAATCTGTTATCAATTATTTTAGCTTCGTGGCCTGACTAGCTGCTGCCTGTGGTGGGTCGGGGGGCAAAAACTTGCAAAGCGCTCGCATTGCACTTTGGGCGGGTAGCAAAAAGTTTCCAGGACTCCACAGGCACTCACACTCGTGCGCTCATATATGTATTTATGACTTGGTTAACAATTCTGGCTGCTAAGCAATTTTCCTTGGATATCCTCCGACTTGCCATAAAAATGGGCAATCTAATCGATTATCGAATTTGAGCGACTGCAACCGGGGCCTAATTGAGTTCCCCGAGTCGAAAGTCTCGACTCAGCAGCTCATAGTGAGCGTTGAGCATTCGTTCGCCTTGTAAACCACATTGATTTTCCATTTGGTTGCTGTCTAAGTTGTTCTAACAAAACGAATTTCAACATTTAACAATTTACATCTATTTGCCAAATTTACGATTGTTTGTGATCAAAATTAATTCATTTAACGATTAAGATCCTGCCAACCATGGGTCTCAAACGCTTCGTGTCCTCAATGCTTCGCAGTGCCCAGCTGCGATCAACCAAGGCTGGAGAGCTGGCCGCCGGATGTCCACCCGTGTTCAACAAGGATGGCATGTGGAACGCTATGGTCCAACGTCAGGTGCAAAATAAGGCTACAAGTGGTTCAGGGAAAACCAAAGAAAATGATCCGGAGAAGCAATCTGGCGAACTAGCTCCCAATGCCGCCCGACTTCCTCGCAAGCGCTGCTGGTTGACGAAACGCACAGATCCCCAATTGCAGAAGAAATAATCATCAGATGTGTTTCAACACTCCAATATATAAAGTTTAATAATATTCCAGTAAATATATGCAATTAAAGTCCGATAATTATATTATGAAAAGTTATATTCTGGAAAATTATTAAATACATGTCTGAGTTAAATCTATCTCTAAGCGAATTTTCTATGGAATCCCAGGTAAGTATTTAATATCCTTTTCTTATAAATAATCCTAGTACTATAGTATTTACTTATCCATTCATTTTCCACTCCTCTTTTCTTGGGATATTCAATTTAATTTTTGTTTACCAGCTGCTGATTAACAATGCCAGCAGAATCCTTGGCTATGCGAGCATGTCCTGGCTCCACGTTCCCCTCAATTTCAAGGAATTATTATGGTTAATGCCCGTGCCATTGTTGTGCTACATATCCCCTTCTTCCCCCTCCCCTCATGTTGTGCAAATATTTTACGCGACACACGGAGCCGCACAAAGCCGGAGCGCACAAGTAAAAGTAAATTATAAGCAAAGGCAGCGCACAACAACGCTGGAGTTGCAACAATGATGCAGTGCCATGTTGAAATGCAACTGATTGTGCGCGAAAAGTTTTTTTGTTGATGCCACGCGCCGCGGAAGAAGCTGAAAAGACAGCGCCCGGCTTTCGGTTAACATGACTTATTATTAAGGGGTGGCGGAAAATGTGGGCGTGGGCGTGGACTCAGACTTGCCAACTAGTTCAAGATGAAGTCGCGGTGGAAATGGATCAGAGCGAATGCCACGAAAATGGAGGCAGCGGCGGCGGCCGCGGTGGGTTTATCTTTTTTCAGGCGTCCCGCAACGGGAAACTAATATGCAAAGGTATCCTGTTAAATGGAAAAGTTGAGGATATTGGACAGTTACAGTTACAGTTACAATGGGATAACAGAAAATATAGCCACTTTTGAATAATAACTTTTTTGTGAAGATCAAGTTGCACCCATTTTAAGCTAAAAATCTAAAAAACTGGAGAACCTATAATACTTATGAGAAACATGCCTTCATATATATTATATAGAGTCAGGTTTTTCATGGTAACTTTATTAAGTTATCCAGATATTATTGGAGTTTTAAAAACTTTTCAAAATGTGTCTGAAAGAAGTAATTTTTAGTTACAAAATGCCAAAGTTATAGTTGTTTTTATAATGCCAAATATTGTAGCATACATTTTGGCGCAATGCAGAGTTTAAAAAACGTTTTGATTTCAATAGCTCTGGCAAGTAGGTCTCTCAATAATTTAAATTTAGTATGAATGGTCATAGAATATAGGTTATAGGGTAAGAGTACAGAGTATAGCTTATATAGTATAATATACAAAGTATAGAGTATAGGGTAACCCTTTCAACATCATTGATTGTACTATACCTCTTTTTTGTCTTGTCTTGTTCCATGACTTACTTTGTCGGGTGTTTGTTTGTGTGTCGAGCAAACAAATGAGCCACGACTCTGGCCGGGGTTTTCACGTTCCTTACCAGCTTTCTTCCCAGTTCATTCCATTTCATTCTTCTTGGCCAGGCATTCTTCCCAGTCGCTCTCAGCGTGGAGCAAAGTCTCTGCATTAGTCTATGAAAGTTGTTTTCCCGTCTTCGGAGCTCCTTCTTTCATTCTTTGTCGGCGCAGTTTTTGCTTTTCTGCTGGCTTTTGTTTGGCTCCTTGTTGCAGATTTCTTTCTCGTCCTTTTTCTGTGCGAAGTGGGTCACGGGGTCGTGGCGTGTGCAAATTGCAGTTGCCAGCGGGGGCGGGTATATGTGTGTGGTTGGAGATCCTGCGGTTGCACTCGCTGTGCGTGTGCGTCGACATGTCGACTTTACATTTTCAAATAATTTCTGATTAAGCATGGGCGTCTTTCCCTCCATCCCCGAAACCCACTCGGAAAATGCTATGACCCCCGCTGTGTGACAAAAGCAATGGGTGCAGCTACCATCTGTCCTGCACTGAAACAAAAGCCTCTACAATATAAGGTAACTAGGTATGAAATAAATTGATATTCTGTTATAAATATCGGATATTAAAAGCGATCGTTAACGATACAAATCAACAAAGTTATATTTTAAGGGTATTTTCCGATATTGTAGGTTCTTTTTAGATATTTAAAATGATATTTATGATATTTTCTTGTTTCATTATATTTCTTACTCTAAAAAATTAACAGTTTTCAATATTTTTCTCTGTGTGCTTTCTCTCTTTTTTCTCGCTACTACTGTCTCACTCTTTCTCTTGGTCTTTTCAAGGCAACATGCTGACATATTGCGGGGCATAATTTACCGTTGCTTTCGCCTGTTATTTCTCTTCTTCTACCGTCAGTGTCCTGCGCTTTTTTCTGATTCTACTTCTTCCACTTGCTCTTCTCCTGTAGCCGCCTGTCGCCGAGTGCAACTAATTTTTGTTTGTTCACGAAAAGCCACAAAGATTTATGCTTGAGAAATTATGCTTTAAAAGTTGAGCATATGTCTTCGTTGCAGCTCGCCGTCTTAAGTAATTTAATATACTTTAATGCCGTCTCACTCCACCAGCTAGCACCTTTCCTCCGTCTCGCTCTGTCTCACGTGCATAATGTATATTTAGTGTATGCGCATATAAAGGACATGCATTATGGGAGCTGGAGAGGGGGGGAGGGGATAGACATAGAGTGGGGGTAAGCAGCAAAATGTTCATAAAAATGCAAATGTGCAAAATGGTGCGAAGGGGGTGGGACAGTAAGAGAGAGAGGGAGAAAGCGCGAAATCATAATGAAAGAGCGAGCAAAAAAAAAAGGCTAAACACACACACACACACATAGAGACATTCGGGCCAAAGGTTGTTGCATGTGTGTGAATGCGCGTCACTTTTTGCGCTGACATTTTAAGTGCATCTTTGTGAAATATTTAAACAAAGAATAATTACACACGGCATTACGAACTTAATGCGGCTGAGTGCATGAAATACTCATCTCAACGTAAATGCATGCTGCCTCCGCAAACTGCCAGGATGCTGTGAATGCCTGAAAGGGGGGTTTCGAGGGGTAACTCAGCAAGGTGAAGGTAATCCAAGAGGTCCTTTTTACCGGCCATTATTAGCTAGCTGATATTGGATATATTCTCTCAGAAGAAAATCATAAATAAACTCTTCTATATATCATAAATTTAGTTTCCTCAGGACACTTTCTTATAAAGCTCTCTCTATCTCTATTTACTATATATCTATCTCTATATTTCATGTGAATACTATCGGTGTGTGTAAAGCCTGAGCAGAGAAATTCCCTCACCCGTGAATCACTCATAAAAATCCCTTTCGTCATATGATTATTTAAAATTTAAAGTTATTCCACCACGCATTTAAATAATATAAATTTATTTCCTTCTTAACCAGTGTTAAAATCAAAATACCAGAACAATTTAATACTATAAAACTCTGTTCGTCACAATAATAATTCAATATACTCTAATTTGGTAAATTCATCTATGACCTGGGCATTGGCCAAAACCATTTTCCATTCGGCACAAATTTGGGTCTCTTCCACCCAAAAGCTAATAGATGGCTATATTTCGAGTTAGTACAACATTTGGCATGTAAAATGTTTTTTAAATTAACGCTAGGCTGTACAAATTGGCCAACATGTTTGGTTGCAATTGCATTTTCCGAACTGAATCGGTTGGACTTCTACCTACAGCTCCACCTCCTCTGCAATGGGAGCTGGACAGGACTGGACTGAGTTGGGGGGTTGTTGTGACAAGGACCTTGGGATGGTTACCCATGGCTAAGCCAAAGTTATGGCGATTGCAGTTTGGAAATGCACACACACACACACACGGGTAGGGAAAATCAGTTCGAAAATTGAATTCGAATGCAGCAGGACGATGGGAAATGTTGACGGGGGCAAAAGGGTCCTCCAGATTGGGCCACCGGCATACCGAGAACTCAACTGGAACTCCACTGGCTGAGTGGACTCGAAGTGACTTTGTGCTTGCCATTGACTAAAACAAATGGGCTCCACAACATCTTTTACTGTCAGCTGCAACTTGTCGCCCTGTCCATTTGTGTGTGTGTGTGTGTGTGCCACACCCACCGATCCCCTCCCTCCTCTCACTCCCTGGTATATAAATAAAATAAATATTTATATTGAAATGCAACGCAATCGAGCGCAACAGAATTGAATTTCAGAGCTTTGCTTTTGGCTTTTTGTGCCGTTTGCCTTTCGGCTTTTGACTTGTCCGCAGCTACTACTTCTACTACCACTTCTACTACCTCGGACGGCAGACGCAGACTTGGCCAAAAGGGAAAATAAAGATGCCCAAGATCGAGAGATAGAGAGATATACCAGATGCGAGAGGCGAGATGAGACAGCGGCAGCGATTTTAGTTTTCTCAAATTGAATTTTGCCAACTTTGTTTGGCATTTAATTGCATTGCAAGTTGCGTTGCAATTTCAATTGATTCCGAATGAGCTGAGTGCTGCAGGTGAAGCGGCCCCAAAAAAGACTCAGGACGCTGTCATCCCATTGCAATTGGAATGTCCTTTAAAGCGTAATGCCAAATAGCTTTGCAGTTAGTTAGTTGACACAACTTATGTGAATTTAACATTGTTTGCTTTGAGTTCACCTGACAGCTTGACTGAGCAAACAGAAATGGAAAGACGAAATTAGGTACTGAGGCCTCCGGACTTTTGGAAAAACAATTAAATCAACTCAATCGTTATTTATTTATTTCTTATTTGAATAAACAGTAAAGGTATTAGAAATCATTACAACTTTATAGTTTTTTTTGTTTAATCTTAAGATTAATAGCAGAAGAAATATGTTGCTTCTAAAATGTTCTTTAGGACTCTGAATCCTCCTTCAACTTTTCTAGGCATAGAGATTATGGGTCCTTTGTTCGACTTTCCACATCCTGATATACTTGTTTTAAAGGATTTTCCTAGAAAACAGGAAGCGGGAAAAATGTTTAACATACATTATGCAGTAGCCGAGAGGGAGGAATATAAAATTACATTACTCAACAAACAAAGCAACAAATTATCATTTAGATAATACTTTTTAGTGCTTTTCAGCACTCCCCTCCTCTCTCTGTGTGTCCCTGTCTGCCAGGCTTTCACTTACCTAACGCATGGAAATTTTTTCCATCTGCATGCATTTTCTTTGTGATACCAAGCAGCCGCCCACCAAGTGGAGCATATCAGGCAATCGGGAAGCCGACAATGGAATTTTCAAGGGGATAGCTGGAATTCTTTAGCCCATTTCTGGTGCGTGGTAAAAGCGCGTAAAGTAAAATGTAAGTGGCATGCATGGAATAAGAAAAAAAGAAAATATAGAAAAAAGGACAAGAGGGCGGAATGTGGCGCGGAATGGGGCAACATAATACGCGAAATAACAAAAGCGGAAAAGTGTGTGTAAAAGCTGTCTGGAGGAGCTGCCAGCCAAGGAGATAAAGGATGGAAGACGCTTGGCAATGCAAATGCTCCTAATGTTCGCTTTATGTCTTTGTTTTCCCAGAGAGATGTGTACGTTCCCCGGGGCGATGGGGGAGACGATTTTCCCAAAGGGAGTGTGTATAGCAAGGAGCCGTACATCAAATTGATTAGTGGTAGAAAATGCAGAACTGCAGCTACCTCACAACTTTCTACGAATACAATTTTTGCCATCACAGCTAATTATTTGCATATTTCTTTTACCTGGCCAGGACGTGCGACAAGAACTCCGGGAGTTGGTCCTAATTTGAAAGGTTTTTCCCGACTCTGGAGCCACCCGCTCAACGCTGACAAATGCAAATGTCAGCAGAGTGTTGGCAACTTTTTCATTTTGCAACTCTGCCAGGACTTGGGTTTTGCAGTTGTCATTTTGCGTTGCGCAAATGTCAAACTTATAGACGCTAAGCCACGTGCCAGAGAGGAGGCCAGAGACCTCGGCACCGACCGTCTCACCTTCAACCACCCCCAATTTTCCAGGTCTCCTCAGCTTCCACTTTCCACTTTCCGATTTTTCCATCCCCCAACCCCCCAACCATTCCTGCGTGGCATGCCAATGTTGCACGTTCAAATTAACTTTAATGAACCCAGTTTAGTTGCAAATGAGTTACAGAACTCGAAAAACACATCGAGACGTGTTTAGTGAGCAATGCATAGAACGGTTATTATGTTGAATCAGGTGATTTTAAGCACTGATAGGTAAGTACTGAGGAGTTTTTTAATTTTAGAATATATTTACCAAAGAAAAATAAGAGGTTTATAATGTTGGAGGAAGAGAATTTTGTATAGAAACAAGAGGGCGGTTTATTTTTTTTTAATAGCTTTAAATAAAGAGTACAGAAATCAATAAATAATATCTTAAGGATCTGAAATCTTTTTAATGTGGTTTTTGATACATCAAATTAAAAAGAACACCAAAAACTTATATGACAATAATCGTTCAAATACTTAAAGTTATACCCAATTCCTTCCAAAACTGTCCTTCAACCCACGAATGTCTCTGGGAAAACCAAAGAGCAGCCTTCCTGTCATCCCAAAGGAGGTACCAGGACCCGTTTGTTGAATTTGAATTTGAATAATACAAAGCAGAAAAAACCCCAAATATGTACGAGTATCTTGTATCAAATGTCAAGTTTCGTGTTTGTGACAGTTCAAAGATTGCAAAAATTTCCACACTAAGGTGCGTGAGCCGCAAAGTTGGCCATAAATGCCGACCCGGGTCTCGCCCATCCGAAATAAATATTCGTTGTTGAAAAGGACATAAATAAATATGCGGGGAAAAAAATATCGGGAGACAGGACTTTCACTTAGCCGACTGCCCAACTTCCATCGCCTTTTACTTTCTGACAGTCATGCTTATTTATGGCCCCGCGGCCTGAGTAGGCCCTTTCCAATTTGCTGGAATTTTTAAGCCTCGCCAATTTATTGGCCGACTGTGTGCCGATTAGCCAAATATCGAGATTATGCTTAAATCAGCATCGACAGCCAATCCAATTTCGTGGGCCACGCGGAAAGGCTTATGGCGAGGGTTCGTTGACTCCAACTCCTCCGGACCGCCTCTTGTGTGGGCTTTGGGCCAGCATCCAAGAAAAACAGAAATTGAAATGACACCAAGAGATGAAGGGGGAAAAAAACAGTGTGAAAACCGCAGCAGCAAACTGACAAAATGACTCTGCGACCGACAAACTGACTGACTGACTGACCGACTGTTTTGGCCAGGTCTGGTCTGCTCTGTGGTTGCGGTCCGTGTGGCAACAAATGTGCATGTGGCAATTGATTTATTCAAATGAAATCACAGCAAGAAAAGCTGGCCAGGGAGGTGTGGTCGGCAGCAGGTAACTTATGCACTTAGCCCAAAATAAACATCAGGCTGGCAGACCGCACAACTTAACTAGAACATATTCAAAGAAGCGAATAAAAATATTACATTTTTCAGAACCATTTTAAGAGATAAGAGATTTTCTAAGAAAAATTCTAGTTTGACTTTAACAATTTAATATCAAATAAATAATAGAAAAAGACCGATTTAAGAGCGTGTATCTACGATTTCATTTTCAGCTTTCCTACTTCATTGCACTCCATGTTAAAAATTTCCAGCACTCCATTTGTTCGTATAGCCATAATTTTCCCAGCAAATATCAGTTTCTGTTTTCCCAGAAATATCAAGAGAGTGAACAATAAGGCAGCTACACTGAATACAGGATGACTTCGGATGGACTGAGTAAATGGGAGTGAGGTATGTAAATCCTCCAGCCAGGAGTAGGCGCCAATGATCATCAAGTTGGCCAAGAGAATAAGGATAATGCGCCAGCGCAAGGTCAAGATGCGATATGAGGCAACCACTTCGGTGAGACGTCGCTCAAAGGCCCTAAGATCCTCGTAATCCAATGCTTCTTCCATTTTAATTTCTTAAATTTTTGTATGAGTTTTGTTTCAATTAGTTTCCGAGATATTGATTGAATTGTCATAGCCATTTTTCGTTTTAATATTCTGTAATATAAGTTACTGTAGTCCACTCCATCCATTTAGAAGACCACTCCAACCCCAGGCTCCAATATGGGCATTGATCCAGTTGCGAAAGGCTGCTACATTTGTGTACACGCCCGGGTAATTGGGATTGGCACAGCCCAGGCCCCAGGACACTATACCATAGAGCTTGCCTTGACCTCCAACTCCTACGCCTTCTCCTTCTCCTGCTGCTTCCTCTCCCGCTTCCGAAGAAAATCCCACCAGCGGTCCCCCAGAGTCACCCTGGCAGCTATCGTGACCGGGACGAGCGGCGCAGATCATCCTCTGGGTTATGGGCAGCACCTGGCGATAGGCACGCCGGCATTGCTGCGACTCCACCAGATCCACGTCCACGAAGCGCAGTTGCGGGGAAACACCCACCTCATTGTCACCACCATCCTCCCCCTGGAAACCCCATCCGCTGACCAGGAGCCGGGTGGCCACTGTCGGTGGCTCCATCTCTGTGGCCAGGGGCACTGGTTGCACATCCTCGGTGAAATTGAGCCTAGCATTCAGGATGAGCAGTGCCAGGTCATTGTCGTGGCTCTGTGGATTATAACCGCCATGGGTGATCACCTGCCGCAGGCTGAGCAGATGGCCGCCACTTGCATGCTCGCTGGAAGCCACTCGGACGGTGTAATCCTCGGGGCTGTAGGGCTCCTCGAAGCAATGGGCCGCCGTCAGGATGAAGTGGTGTCCGATGATGGCTGCCCCGCAGATGTGCTGGCCATGGAGCTGCACCGAGGCCTGGTAGGGAAACTCTGCTATGGTGGTCACCTCACCGCCCACAATTCGTCCATCGCCGGGATTGGGCTTGGCTTGCACCAAAGATGAAAGCAGCAACGTTGCCACAAAGCTCCATGAAATCATCTTGCTATCTGGCTGAGGAATACTTCCGCGTCGAAGCTTTATATTGGTGGAGCGTTGGAACTTATCGGTGGAAAGTCAACAGCTCCGGTAATAATGTTTTGCAAATTTGGAGTTGATCTTATCGCCACTATTTGCTTGTTCGCGAAGGTGTCAAAGCCACGTTATCTGACTTTGACCCAATAACCTTGGTGGAGAGGGAATGTGACAGATAAATGGGGTTCCGCAAATACAAAAGTATTTATCAGTTTATAAAGAGAGCAGTTTAAGAGTGTTTCATGGGGTATTTAAGTTGTTTTGTTTTAAATTTATAATTACAATAAATAAATATATAAACATATATTGCTAGGGATCCATTTAAGATAACTTAACCTACTTGATCTTAACTTTATCTATAACGAACCCCAATTAGATAGGCTTTCCAATTAAATCGTATTCCTAAAATTAAGTAAGTTAAGCCCTGTAAGTGTAGTCACACAAATCTCCGCTTAAGCCTAAGGATAAGGGTCATATTTCATAGTCCTTTGGGGGTGGGGGGGGGGGGGGTGGGTACAACTTGATTCTGTTCAGATTCAATGAATATGTTAACAACTTGGTGTCAGGCCAGGCCAAGACATATGTATATCTGCATTATTTGCATAGAGTCAGTCAGTCTACTATTTCATTATGAGATAAAACAACCTGCTCGACAGTGGCAGTAACGGCAACAACTTATTAGCTTAGACAAAAATGAATTGCATAAATATTTTAAGGCCAGAGTATCCTTGGACTCCCAGATAGGGACAAGATACATTTTACAGATTGCAAGGACCAGGAGCCAGCCAGTTGGCCAAGTGTCAGTGCGGGCAGGCACTAATTGTTTCATTTTGCCTGCCAGACAGTAAACAATTCCAGAATCCACAAATATATGCACACACTTTCGAGCCATGTACGTACATATATACATAGCATCTCCGTACGGAGATGTTCATTCGGTTTACATTTTAACAAAATTCAATTTGCTGCTGCTGACACATGGGGGAGTGGTGCAAGGAGTCCCTCAGCATGCTAATTGCCTGGCCAGCAATTAATTAAGCATGGCAGGATTTAATAAAATGCACACCAAGAGCTTTCTTATGTTTCTTGATTTATACAACATTTAAGTATATCCCGAAAGAAAGTGGAATAATTGCAATACTTTGTTGATCAATATTCATTCAAATAGACAATAAACAATTCATTAAAACGGAAAAAATCAAGTAAATAAATGTATTTTGCATAGCAGTCTTAATTGCTTACATTCTTTAACTTTAACTAAGAAAATATGTCTCAAAAACATATAAATGTATTTTAAACGTGGCGTATACGTAATATTTATTTTACCTCCATTGCATTTGTTCAGCTGTGTAGCTTTTAATTGTGAAAATTGTTGCAGTTAATTGCGTGTAATTGAGAATACTCTCAGAAAATTCGTCACATAACTCTCGACAGGACATAAATCTTGAGTGGGAAGGCCTTGGGAGTAGGGGTTAATTGCAGGGTAAAGAACATCAATTACCAAAAACAAAAAAAATAAAGTAAAGAGAAATGGAAAGCAAGGGAAAAACAAGGGAAAGTGTGGCAGAACGAAGGCGAATACTTGCCGCAAAACTCTGCGCTCTTGGCTCCCATAAATTATGCAGTCAATTTTTTTGACTTTATTATAAAATGCGTGTTTATTATGCCATAAAAGCGAGAGCGAAGCGTGGGCGCCGAAAAAGTGTTGAAAAGTGTGGTAAAGTGTCAGTATTAAGCGTGAAATTAATTACAAACGCTTACTTAAGTTAAATATTTGAACGAAGCCTTAGCGCCGCGACAACACGGAAAAAGGAAGGCGAACCCCGGAGCAAAGTCGAGTACTGAATCCGGCCGGACAGGTCTCCTTTCACTTGGCCAGGAGCTTCAGAAGTGGAGCTGGCCGTAAGACGAGCCACTTTGTCAGCCGAAACTCAACTCAGCTCGACGCTCCTTGACTTCACTTTGCCAAGGGAGGGGGAGTCCCAAAAATATACTACCAAACACTGAGAAAAATAAGAGAATTTACAGGCCTGGAAAAATAACAGGATAGGGGACGAAAATAGATGTGTTAAATAAGAAGGAAGTTTGGTCTTTTTAAAGAAAACATTAGTCAAATAAAATAAAATACAATGAAATAATTTGCTAGCATGTTTTAATCATAATATTTTAAATGATTTAATCAATATATGTTACAATAAATGTGAGAAAATATTTTATAATATATGCCAAATTACATACACAATGTTTTTTAAGCTTTCATCATCAGCAAATTTTAAATATGTAATTCTTAGTACTTTTTATGTGATAATTTTGCTTAATTAAGTTATGTTTAAACAGGCTCTTTCACCTAATTCATATTTATATACATTGGTTTCTGTATTTTCTGTGAGTGAAGTCTCTTTCTCGCTTTTTTTCGACCCTATTTTCGGGACTCTTTTTTGTTTGGCTTTAAGCGCAAGTTGAACATTTCATTTGTCATGCTTTTTTGCTGCTGCTACCTGGCTTTCTTTCCTTTTTAGTCGGACATCTCGCTTCCTCCCACGCATATGTTGCGACCAAGTTTTTGACTGATTGCCGGGGACAACAGCAGCAGCAGCAGCAAAAGCAGCAACATCAGCAGCAGCAGCAGCAACATCAGCAGCAACAGCAGCAACATCAGCACCACCACCAGCGACATCGAAGAAATGCTAAAAAATGTATGCTAACGGCAGTGTTGGTGGCATTGCTAACGGTAAAGTGTTGCAAATAGCTTTTTTGCGTTTCTGAATAATTTATAAGATGTGTTTACTCATGAAACCAAGTGACTAAGTGTTGCCACCAAAGCGAAGGATGAAGCCCGACGAAAGTGGAAAGTGGAAAGTGAGGCGGTCAACTGATGGCTTGGCAAATGAAACACGATAATTTACTTAGGTGCAATGCGGTTGTTTTCCTGCCTGTTTTGTGGGCGAGAACTTGAGATATTGCTGCGAATGATTGGATTGGAGTGGCAAAGAAAGCTTTTATCAACAATCTGAATAAGTAATGCATACAATCTGCTATAGGGACATCGCAGCTCCTCCACACACACTCGGCAGCCATTTGCTAATTGTGCTCATTATCTGCTAAATGTGCGCAAATTTATGTGACGCACGCAGTTGCCTCACCAACTGATTTGATTACCCGTACGTGTAGCGGCGAGTGCCCCGCCCACAGGCGGCAAGTTGCACAACCAAATTGAGTTGCTCTACCTGAGCACCAAAGACTCGACAAAGCAAAAAAAAAAGCGGCTCATAAAACATGTAAAATGCCAGAAAAAAGAGCCTCCCACACATCCTGCGCCTCACTCTCCTTTCCTGCGGCTGAGAAGCTCATTAAAAATTCGTAGAGCGTTCTATTAAATGTTCATGTTTTGCATAAAAATAAAGCTACCCCGAAAAAAGTGAAAGAATAAAAAGGAGCAGAGCTGAGTGTTCCATGTGTGTGTGTACTTTGCGGCTTGTAAATTCAATTGATTCTGTAATGATGCCGCATTTTAATTAACCCATCATAAGCTAGGCATTTGCAATGAACCGTAAATTGGGTAAATACTTAAAAAAGAGGCGAAAACAGTCACTTATATCTAGCAAATGTTGTTACATTCTATTCTAGCAACCATAACTGCTGTCCAACAACTCTTAACTACCAGTTTTCGGTGCTACCGAATATGTTTTCGTTAAAGCAATCAAACCAATAATTTGCCAACATGAACAACAGCAATAACATAGATACTATAAACGTAAACTGCAATAAAAACATATAAATCAAATCACAAAAGCCACAAAAATAGCCAACATCGAAGGCTATGTCCCCAGCCAGGAAGAAGAGTGGGGCGGGGTTCCTTCCTGTAACTCAACGACTAAGCAGGAAATGCCATTGAAAAACACGTAATCACATAGACCAACATACAGGGGGCTCGCACAAAACATATATGTATATATAGAGTTGCTATAGATCCTGATGGAGAAATCATAGAATTTCATTTCAATGCTTATCATATTTGTGAGCTTTTTTTTTATTTCTATTCGTGTCCTGCTATCGGTTGGGTCAAACGGTGGTCAGCGCATACAAATGCAAAACGGAAATGACATGAGGGATAAATCAGGAAATTGCTAAACATCAAATAAAGCTGATAGCGTAACTTTCATACAGATTTGTGCGAGCGTTTGAAATCGTAGCTCTTGGCTTCCTAGTCGTCGTCGTCGTCGTCGGCGATGTCAACAATTCAAAATCATTGCAATGATGACGGGGCAAACAGCTGTGGCAGTCACTGCTGTGCAGCGAAAAATTCAATTTTCCAATATGACATCCGGCGGCTGGCACACATACTCATGTGCACATATAAGTTCCGCTCGTACACACGGCGTATACTTAACGCCGCAACGCCTGAGTCAACAGACCTCGGGTTCCCTGGAGCGATTGACATGGCCCCATTGTTCGCAGGCTTTTTAACTGCTAATGTTACCAGCTCCTGCCACCGCCACTGCTTACGGCTGACTGCTGGAAATTGGCAACTTTCTACTGGTTACAGGATCCTCTGTGCTGAATCCTGGCCAGCTGCAACGCTGCAGTTTTCCTGTCAAACAAGGGCTGCCATCGCTTTGGGCCGCTGCCTTGGCGGAGTTCGAGCTTGTGGCGTTAGAGTCAATAGCCAGCCGTTTGGCTCTGGCCAATTATGACCCGGGAACATGGTGAAAATTTCATAATAGAGATGACAGAATTGATACGGGTTAAGGTTTGGAATTATTGTAATTTGGGGTTTACTTGTGCTTAAAATATGTACAGAATAATATATAAATATACAGGAATATTTAAAACTATTTTTCCGTCTTCCAATTCCTCAAGCAAAAGCTTATAATTTGAATTCAAAAATAATAAGTTGTTTATTTTATTTTAATTTCGATACAGATTCAACAAATTATTTACTCTTTTTATATATTAAGAATTATCTA